TGTAAGTGGGGTCAGTTCTGCAAAGTTTCATTTACAGAGATAAAAACCTTTTATACCCCAAAATTAAGAAGTCACTGCTAGTGCTGGATTATCAAGTGTCCCTAAATAACCGCTATGAGGCAGATATAATGCAGGTTATGGCTGAGAAAGACAACTGAGAGAGTTAAGAGAGCTTTAAGTCTTTAAAAGCAACCTTCACAGCAGCTTGAGGTACCTCACTTTACTTTATATCCACAAGAAAAAAATGGTCCCTGCATTTCAGATAAAGCTCAGTGTCTTGTCTGCTTAACCATTTGTGATCTGACCATGCTCTTAGATACCTTCCAAAATGGAAAACTTACATTGGCTAGAAGAGATTTATAAATCTCTGAACTTCAGTCCTAGAAGAGCATACAAAGACTGAAGGTGGAAGTGTTTTCTTCTCTGTATGGAATGGGGCAGGAGAGTAAAGACAGAGCTGATTTTCCACTTCAGTATCCCTCATGTCTGCACCTTTTACAAGTCATTACATCTCAAAGGACCAGAAATACATATTCACTTCCAGGACCCGTTTTGGGCTGGTAAAATGCAGCAGTGGCTTTTCACAGGCTTGAACCTCCACATTCTGAGCAGCCTGTAGTGATTTTTCTGGCAATATTTCACTGATTATCATTTTGCATAAATGATTGTAATAACAATATGCTACCAATAAAACATGCTATCAAAACTGCTCTTCTTTTGAGTGCAGTTCTCACAGTGATTTCTGTGTATTAATGGAAATGTCACACTCACACACAGAGCAGGGCAGAATAGTCCCTGAAGTGTTTTTACTCAATTTCTTCTGGTGGGTGAGTTTGTCCTCATAACCATAATAAATAAAGCTGTGGTAATTTATAAAATGCAAAAGGTCTCCTGAAGGTTGGTACACACTCTTATTCTAACCCCTATTTGTGAAATTTCATCCAAATCAGAAAAATCCAGTAACTGAGACATATTCACACAGTAGAGTTCTAGACTCCAAAGCACAAACTGTTAACTCTGCCCAGGCACTTTTTTGTTTGTTTGTCTTTTTCAATAACTTTAACAGCAAAAGGTATATAGGAAATTATTTGGAGATAGGCTGCTTGTTCATCAAGGCAAAGTCATCATTTGGAAAAAATGCTCCAAGTTTTATCATTGTTTAGTTAATCCTGCTCTTGCAAATGGGATTCTGGTTTCTCAACTAAACTGTAAGGTAACTGAAGTGAAAAACAGTACATGCTTCATATTTTCAGGTGTAAGATTCTCATTTCCAGGCAGTGAGAATCCCTGCAACCTTAACCTTCAAAAAACCACCCTCCTGAACGTAACCAATATATTCCAAATTCCAAGGTGAGCAGATCCATTCTGAGTTTGTCCAGAATTATTACCCCAATGCATTGCTGAGAGACACTGCTGCAAAAAGCAGTCCTTTAAATGACATTTCCACAGTTTAGAGGTACTAATTTATCCCAAATGTTTGTTACAGGATTGTCTCTATCTTGATAGATATAGAAGCATCTATTGTTATGACAGAAGTCTTAACTGTTCTCTTACCTCAGGGTCTTTTCAGTCTGCAAGCAAATTGTGAGTCTTCAAAGCCATTTTCTATTGTTGTAGGTTTGTTATAAACTAACCCTTGAGAAAATTTACAGCAAGTGTAAAAAATTTATCCACTCTCTTTAGATCCAGATTTGAACAAAAATCCTTGGAAGATAACAGACTTGGAGGTAAATGGAAAAAAAAAAGAAACCTATCATGAATTTAACAGAGTTGTAGGATGCAAGGGAAACCTTGAAGGGAGTTATGATAATTTAATTTTAGATAAATAAAATGCCATATATCTAGTTTAATCTATATATCCAAGCATTTATTTTGATACCACAGATATTTCCTTATCTCACTGGAGAAGACAAGGATGGTGCTGAGGAATGGCTGAGGAGTGAACAGTGGCACTTCTCACCAGTCAGTCCTGGCAGTGTTCAACACTCCCCAAAACCAGCAATGGCAGATGCCAAATAAAGCACATAATTCTGGCAATCTGTGTTCAAAAATATTCACCAAAACTGCAAGGAGGGCTACAAAGACAGGCAGAGGGAAGAAAAAAGGACATGAAGAAGCCACAGTTATTTTATGCCCACTGAAATGTCACCTGAATGAAAGGAAAGGAATCAAGGTCATCCTGATGAGGGACAAAAAAACACAGTTGAGAAATAAGATATAGGTATAATCAGGATATGAATCAGTTCAGCTTGGATATTAATATATCATCAGAGAAATGAGTGTCTGCAACATTCTTTGTTTGAAACTGTATGGAAAGACATTTCCACAGAGCAAGAGGATTATTCTCTGGGCCAGGACAGGAGAGTGTCTGTGCAAACAAAACCCTGGGCGTGGTGACCCACAAGATTAACCCTACAAAAGCTGAACAGTGAGGACAGACCGAGGTGGCAAAGAGATGGTGAGGATTGCTGCTTACAAAAACTGCTCTTCTAGAACCAGCAGTTAAACTGTCCCAGGGAGAACACACCAAGGATCTGAGGCACTGATCTCTTACAGAGCAGCTGGCACAGACAATAATTCTGCTGCCTCTCAGCAGAAGGGCAGAGCTGGTGTCAGATGCCAGAAAACAGCTTTGGAAGCAGCAGAAGTCCTCCAGAAAAACAGACAGGCACACATCACAGCATTTGAGCAATGAGTCAGAAAAAGCTGTAAATCGACCCAAGATCCTCTGGAACAAAGCTTCTTTAGGAATATAAAATCTCTCATGGACTCGGCTTCTAGGAAGACAAGTCATTCACTTGGGCTGTATTTCATAATCCCGTGCTACCAAATTTACATTGTAGTTTTCCCCCTTCCTCAGTGACAACAAAAGCACCTTCCAGGGGGCTATTTCAGGGTTCCATCCTGCACCCCTTTGGGGTAGGACTGAATTAGAAAAGTTTTGGTTTTGTTCTCATTTCCACCACAAATCCAGTGTATGGCCACTGGAAAAGAAACTTTTTTTCTTTGTCTTTAGCTTCAAAAATAGACAACTTTTCTCTGAAACTCTTTTTTTCCCACCTAGAACATCTCAGCAATGGTTTTAACTAAGCATCACCATAGAGCACTTGCCAAAATAAATGAATAAATTCCAGTTATGGGTCAACACTGTAAAAATAGCAAATGAAAACAACTTCCCTGATGGCACCGTGAATATATATGCAGAGAAACAATAGAAATAGTAAAGGTAATTTTAAAATTTAATCAGAAAATCAAAACAATGGAAAAATATTGGGAATGTAGAGCTCATTAGGGTAAGCAGAGTCTATTAACTGTTCAGCTGTCCAAGCACAGAGCAGAAAATCTCATTTGCTTATCACTGAGTACAATGACCACTATGATCCCAGCTATAACCAAAGACGTAATTGAAAGTGATCTAAACCAAGGAAATCAAAACCAAGAAACAAACACAGGGCCAGATCTTTCCACCACTGACTCTGGTGGAATTAACTGGCTGAATGCTCCCACTCACTCCAGCAAACCAGAAGTTAATAATTATGACCCTGAACAGCTTCCCACTGCTGAAGGGTTCTTTCCCACTCACTAGAAAGCTTATGCACAATGAATTACATTAGTACAAGACACTTTTTTTTTTTTTTTTCCACCTTTCTGTCTATATAAAAATTGGATGTGCATTGTTACCCAAATATTTACATAAAGCATAACAATGACTTCTGTCTCTGGGTCACCAGCAGATCATCTGCACCACTGCACTTCAGTCTGCTGCAAGGTCAGGGGAAACAGACTGGCTACAGCTTCACCTCTACCCTCTATGCTATTTATGAGGACTGATGACAAAAAACTTGAACAGGCAAATAAGAAAAAAAGCATGAAATGCATCTACAATAATAGGGAACAATTATGTGTCTCAAAATGTAACCACTTGGAAATTCAGTCTGTCAAGGAACTGGACATTTAATTATTATAATCATTCTAAACAAGAACTAATTGAAACTGAAGATTCACTTTTATCTAGAATTTTGCTTATGAATTTTGTTACCTATTAGGATATAACCAAAGCTATGAAAATCCAAACAAATTATTCTCCTTCCAGTAAGCCTTCCTTATGCAGTACAAGCCTGCTCTCCTTTTTTTGAGGCATCTCAATGAATATTTCTAGCTAATGGCTAAATTCTTTTCCATATCTAGATTCAAAGAGGCAAGGAATATGTATACTTTGCTATTCCCCTAGAGAATGGATTTATTTTAGGACAAGAAAAACTATGCCTGCTTTCAAATTTTATCTCCTCCTCATGCTTTCCTGCCATCACTTATGAATGTAAAGGTTAAACTACCTCGAACTATCTAAGGAAATAAATCTAATTGCACAGCCATAACCAAAGTTTGCCCTACAATAATTGCTACTAATTCTATAAGTTCCATCTTCTCACCTTCATACCACCTTGATAGGTACTAAATTACAGTTGAAAATACACTAAGACATAATTTACTAACACAGTCCCATCAATTCACTGGGATCAGCTCTGTATTTTTATGTTGTACTGTATGCAAGAAACACCTCATACAAATCCATAGAATCATATAGGTTGAAAAGACCTTAGAGATCATCTGTACCAGTTCTAACATCAGCATTTTCTTTCTATGATCCCCTAAGTTACATTCATGGCCTAAACTCATTTAAAACAATTTTACATATCTTTGTGTCATTAAGAAAGTCTTATCCCTGGTGCACCACAAGAAGCTCAGGTGTGTTCTTCCACACTTTTCAGCCAGGTTTCAGATCCTTGGGAATCCAAGGTGCATTTCAGGTAGAACCAAATCTTGTTTTTCCTCGTGAAATTATCATGTGCCACGGAATAGCAAAATCCAGGTTCAGGAACTGCAGCCGCAGTTGGAAGGAGAAGTGTTGTCCTTTTTCCCAGCTCCTTTGCAAGTTCAAGGGATTAAGTCAATAACATCATGACAAAAAAGGGTCTCTGTACAAGAGCCAAGGAACAGTTCTACATGCCATAGTTCTGGGAGTGACCCTCAGGTTTAGCCTTTGCTACCGTGTTACCTATAAAAGAAGAGAAAGGAGTTACTCACACAGAATTGACCAAACAAAGGATGATAACAGGTGCATTGTTACTGCAAAAGAACTGCACAAGGATAGACAACGAATGAACTTGCCCCAGCCACACTTTTATACCACACAGAAAAGGAGAATCTCTATAGAAATGTTAATTACACTGTCATTTGATAGCATGAGGGGGACTTGCAGATAAAGAAATGACAGTTCACCATTAAATTTGCCACCACCATCTCCTGGAAATCTCCTATTTTACTTTGCCTCATGTCATTCCCAACACCAATGCTTCCAGCACAAGTGTAGGATTTACATCCCAAGGGGCCATTCATGCAAACTGCTGCCCATTCCCACTGGTCCATCCTATGGGAGGCAATCAGGAACCAGGCAGCACATGGGCGAATAAATTGTTCCTGCAGCAGAAATCTCCTCCCGACAGCAGAACTCCCACAGGAGCCTGGAGGGGCTGCAGGGATGTGTTCAAGCCTTAATGCACACACAGGGCACAAACCCAGCAGCTCTGGCTGCACAGTGAGGAGGCTCCTGTTGGATTTCTTGTCCTGGAAATGGATGAGAACAGGCAGCTGGAAGGAGGAAAGCTTTGTCAGCTCTGCTCTGCAGTGTCTACATGTGTCACAAAACTAAACAGACACTCAGCATAGAGAAGTTTTTATTTCCTTCCCTGAGGGAACTGATGGAAGATGCAAATTCCTCAGCTTTGCACATTTTACTGTCCCACTCAGACACTAACTATCCATCTAAGTACTGAGTAGTGTCAGCAGTCTCCTGTGTTTCAAATATTTTAGTTACACTATTTTTACTTTTTTTTTATGGAATGAAAAGATAGAGGACTTAAAGTTGATTAAATGGCATTTCCTCTTTCAGTGTATAATTAACCTGTGGAAGCCACTGTCCCACATAGCACTGATCCCAGGGTCTTAAAAAGCTTTGAAAATTGATTACAAATTTAAATGGTAATGAGATCATATCTGCTGCATAACACAGAAAAAAATTAGCATTGAATGGATCTCAACTGTTGTGTTTTAGACATAAGGCAACTATTAAATTGGAAAAAAATCATGGATGTGTACATTCTGTAAATTTGTCCCAAAGGGTTTTGCTGCTTCTGATTTGAGCATCCCCTTGCTGAGGCTCACAGGTGGCTGAACAGTTTGGGCTATGGGTCTGACAGTTCAAACAGTTCTCTTTGTGCAAAATTTTAATAATATACCTAAGAAATATTTTATTTATTGATCTGAGTCAAGCCTTTGGTTCATTTTCAAAATAAAAATATTAGTTACTCCACACTTCCCTTTTCCCTGTCCATTCTAGTTTCCTTACAGCTGTCCAAAGGAAGGAAGAGGCAGCTGTATGAATGAGGATTTGACACCCCAGGCCTTCAGTTATCAGTGCAAACATAAAAGTTTTTATTCTGTTCCCACCCCTAGAAGGCATCAAGGATAATTAACCCTCACTCAAGGGATAATTAACCTGACCAATAAGGTCCTTTTGATATAAATTGTCAGCTCTCTTCTGGTATGTTCAGAGATGAAGTTATCTTGTACAATATCTAGAACTACTAATTCACCAGACTCACCCTTCAGTGTGATGCTACCATGCTACTCATTGTCTATAAATGAGTATTTAAAAAACAGCACTGGGAAAAAGCTGAAAGGCTGAGGGTAATCTTTATCTTATAATAACTGAGTCCCAGTTATCCACACTGATTGCAGAGTTTGCAGGCCTGACTCCAGGTGTAGTGCCCACCAGAAGAGAACAGCAGGACCCAGGCAGGCTGTAGACTACATCTTTGGTAATTGATAAATAACATTGGCCACAGAATCATAGAAAGGTTTGGGTTGAAAAGGCTCTTGAAGGTCTTCTAGTTCCAGCCCCTCTGCCACATGCAGGGGTGCCACTGTGCAATGTCTGTAGACCAACAGTATCACACCACAGCTGCCCAAAACATCCAATTTCCTCTCACCCATCCAGAAATTAGTGCAGTTTTCATTCCTCAGAACAGCCTTTACTAAACAACATTTGGTGACAGTATTGCTTATTAACTCAGACTGTAACCTAATGAACAACATTCTTTCCCAGCTAGAAGAGGCTGTAAAGGGAAAAGCTGAGCATATGTCTCTCCTTGCTATTGCCTGCTAAAGACTCCTGCTTTATGATGTATTTAGACATGCAGTTTGCTGAACTTCAATGCACTGAACTCATTTTAAATTGCCAAGCAGACAGAGGACATGATATTTTCTGTCCATTAATTAATAAATAAGATGATGTAGCAAAGGTTTGGTTTAAAAGAAAAAAAATCAGGCCAGCTACAGGGTGGTCTGTAATTAGAAATATTCTGAACCAACCTGATTTCCAGTGGTGCCCAGTGTGGCACAGTGGTGTCAGTGCAGGTTCCCAACAACTCCCAAGCCAGGCTGGTACTTTCAAAAGGTAAAAGGCTGTCCAGCACAGGAATCTAACTCTATGTGACATTAAAGGTAAAGATCTTGGATCCCTGTACTCAGTCTGCAGATTGAAGGATTGGTTCTGGAACATGATTATCCCTCCAGCACTGAGCACAATGAAATAGTTTCTTTGGCTCACTGAAGACTGAATCAGGACCATTTTCAGTTTGACTGCAGGAGTGAAGGGGCAGTTCTGACCTAATATTTCCTCTCTGAGAACAACTACATTAATCACAGCTTTCCAAAACTTTGAGAAGGCCAAGACTGGTGCTCAAACCCACAGACACAATGCAATAAGAGCAATCAGCAGACTGGCACCTTTAAATAGAGGTGATCTCTGTACTTGCCTTTGTGGTTTTGACTTTATTTCCACTGCTGCAAGACCAACCTGAATAGTCTGGTAGTACTTTACAGTCCTCTCCATCCAAACAGGGGTTCATGTGACACCACCACTTCTGCAGGACAATGGAAGCTAGAAAAAAAGAAGCAGGAAAGAAAAACAATACCTTTTTTATCACTGTTGCTTTTTTGCAGGGGGGTTGTTTGTGCCATGTTCAACTGGTTGATTTCAAAAGGTAGAAACAACAATTATTGATTTAACATGAATTACATGGAGAGTGTTAGAGGCTAAAAAAGTGGCTGAACACTTCACCAGTCCTCAGAAGGATAAATGCCATATTGAAATTGTGAAGAGGCAGGCACCACCAGAGACTGACTCTGAGCTGACCTCTGGAAGTGTCTTTCCATCTCCACTGACTACAAAAACGACTTGTCTCCTTCATTTGCATGCTTCAGTCAAGTACCAGCTGTAAGGGGGAGTGAAGCTGAGGCTTCTTGTTTAACCCATACACACATATGAGAGACTGGACAGAGAAATGCCAGTTTCTTCCTTCACTGGGTGAGAGAACAGAATTGCACAGAGATGCAAACCCATGAGGTGTGTCCGTAAATACTGCATGTAAGAATAGGAAACCCCTGGAAAACATTAGAATATCAATAAAAAATCAACTTGCAGTCACACTGCCACTTTTTCAATATGTTTTGGGAGGCTATAGTTGTACACTTTAACTAGGCAAATGTATTAATTTTCTACTCTTAAGCCAATTTCTATTAAGAACATGGCTATTACTTTTAGAAATGTTGTCATGACTTTATAAACCTGTTGTTAACAACAGCACAAACCCCTGCATGCATTTTTCAGATTTGAACTGTTCGTGGCACTCATCAAATCACATAAAATTATTATCAAATATATCACTACACAATCCTACATAATCTCTATTGGATTTCAAAATAAAACATGGCTCAAAATGTTGATTCAGCTAGTCTGCATTATGCTACTATGTGCACAAACTATTGAATCGCATGCCTTAAAAGATAACACATTCAGAAGAGATGAGCAAAAATAATGGACTCTACTTCTTGTAAAGCACTTTTTTTCCTTTTAATTTCAAGATATATTTGTTCTTCAGCAACCTTTAAATTAGGGTGTCAAGCAGGCAAGCTGACATCAGGATATTGCCGAAATGTTCATTCAATCACTGTTGTTTTGCGCTCTTACTGAAGAGCATTATGAAAAAATACACTTCTGGAACACTGCTTTGGCTTTTGTAAACTAATCTTTCAGTCTTGTTATATTACAAAATAAATGTATGAACTTCCACCAGTCATTTGGGTCTCAGATCATTTGCTTTGATACTGACTGATTGTGGACATCAGGTTGTGGACAAGAAATGGGTGAAACCTGACTGTGCTGCCTGAGAGGTGAGAGATCATTCCTGACAAGGTCAGAAATGATGGAATGAAAAACACCCAGGGGAGATGGCAACACCCAGCAGGCACAGAGACAGACAAAACAAGGGAGTGTGGGATGGAAGGAGGCACCTTGATCCTTCCTGGAGGAGTGGGATGAGGAATGGCAAGCCACAGGTCTGCTGGGCAGATTCGAGGTGGGAATACCAGGTACCAGTGACCACCAGCAGAGAGAATTGCTGCCCTGATGCAAATGAGCATCACTACTGGATAAGGCCTGAAGTTCAATGAAAATAAAAAACAGCTACCAGCCAATTGCATTATAAAATCTTTTTTTTTTTATTTTTGGTTGGACAAGTAACTCAATGTTTTGGGTGTATTCCTCCCCTTAAACTCAGAGCAAATTAAACAGTCCTGATTCAGGACAAGGGTGCTGGAAAAAAACCCTAAATGTCTGTATCAGTCTGTAATTTGCAAATTCAAGACCTGAACAGTTTCTTGCTTTCACAGTGTAGGAGTCTACTGAAAAGTGTGTATAGAGTGGGAGAAAATACAGCTAATCCTGAGGCTAAGAAAAGAGAGTTACAGTTTCTGTAAAGCAGCAGCTCACTGTAGCCACAAATGCTTGCAAAAATGAGCAAAGCCTGATAAAGCATTACCCTAAGGAGTGAGGGGGAATCAAAGGCTTCCACTTTAAAAGTCCAAATCTTACCTTCACAATATTTTGTTGCACTTAATTGTAACTATACTTGAAGAAAACAACAGCTATTAAATTATTTCAGCAACTGTTGACTGAATCAAGCTTCTGCAGTATTTGTGTATTTCTGCCATAGAATGACAGTGTCACCTTTGCAGTCTTTAAGTGAGTTTAAAATAACGCCTGACTTCTATTATCTGTTATATGTAAAAGTATTTCTGCTATTTGATGGGTCACCAAAAAATGCAGAAGATAGTTCTGATGTAACAAGAAAACTGCCTAAGAAAATACACAGTTAAACTTAACTGTATTGCTGAATAACAAAGCATAAAAACACAAGGCATGTAAAAAACTTTTTAAAAAATCTACTTCTTAAACATCTATTTTGACAGCTTCATAATAGGTAAAAAACCCCTCAAAAAACAGATTCACATATATTTAGAGTTTTATGTCTGACGATAAATATTTCTGAGTATTAGATTAGTGTTGGACTTTGAAGATTTCTGTTTTATGTTTAAGTAAACCAGTTGCAATTTTATGTGCAAAAGAATGAAAAGAGGATCTTGCTTATGGATTAATGAAAATGAGATTAAAAAAAAGTCTTGGAGTAGATTTACTAACTTAACAAGAGCAGCAACCTCTACAAAAAATAGGCACATTAAATAGTGAAATATTGATTTAGAGAAAAACTCTCCATACCAGATGTCCCAGCAGCACCTGCATGCCCAGGCTTAGGCTTTCATTTATTATTCAGTGAATTTCTAGCCAAGCTACTAATTCTTAAGACATCTGGAAGAGTTAATATCATAATCTTGAATTTCTTGGCTTATGGCGTTTTCAAACTAGTGTTAGAGGAGAATTCTTGTGAGAAAAAATTAAGAAGTTTTATTGGCACAGACACAAAATGGACCAGTACATATATTAAGAGGATTAATTACACCAAGATTTATGCACAGGCTCATTATCATCAACGCACAGAGATGCTCCCAAAATTAACAAAAGGAAGGATTACGCTTTTTGAGGCGGTGGGAGGTCAGACACCAAGGGGACTGAACTTCCCAAACAGTTTTAACGAGGCAGGAGTGAGCAGAGCCTCTCACCTTCCACGCAGGAGGGCTGAGCCCGTGTGGTGCCGGCCACCTGTCCCGGGAAGCAGGAGCACTTCACCGTCTGGGATCGCTCCTCGATCCGGTTCTTGTTGCAGCACCGGTGCACGGCCACCACTTCACACGTCCCCTGCTTCACTTGGTGCTGGCCTAATCATCCCACAGGTAAGGAGTGGAGAGAAAAAACACATCAGTGCCTTAAGAAGGAGCCAGGTTGTGCAGTCCTACAAGATACTGAATCTCCCCAGCGCCAGCTTAAATCCCAGGAATGCAAAGAAGCGAAGCGTCTTGTAGGATCTGGCTCGTTCCCTGAGTTTATATACCATTCTTTCTTATAAAATTAGTTTTTGTAAGTCAAATTTTCAGTCTATGTTCCCTCAACCTTACAAAGCCATAGGGAAAAGAGCAGGTTGGAGTATTCAGTAGGATGATGAAGGCAAAAAGACAGAGCACACCCATCTTCCTTTGCCTTCCTGACATCCATTAGGTTTTATATTTCATTCTTTCCCTTCATAAATGGACACAATGGATAGGATAATATTTAATATAAGGGACACTTCTTTAATAGGAAGGAAACTTTTTAACACATCAACATGTAAGCACTGCTTGCTGTGCTTGTCATCACAGACAGGCTGAGAACAAAGTAGGCTGAAAAGCTGTCATGGATACTCAAGTTTTGGCCAAAAGGAAAAAAAAGCACACCCAAACTGTATGGATTTCTTCAGCTCCCTCCCAGACCATTCTGAGCAAACCTCTGATAAATATTGTGTCCTCTTGCTTTTCTGATGATTCACTGTCCTCTATTCCTCCAAGTTTATTTTTCCCCTTCTCTTCCTTGCTCTTGTCTTCACGTCTCACCCCGCTGCTCCTTGCAGCTGATCATTTTCCTCCACTGCCAAACCTCCTCTCCATCCTGCCTAAACCCCCTCTCAGAAACTCCACAAGCCCCTCAGCTCCTTGCATAAGTCATTTCCATGTCCTCACTTTCCTGAACAGCCTTCAAGTGCTTCATCTGGCATCTGTCTTGTCTTATTTAGAGTAGAGCCTTGGATGGCTCTTATCTGTGTTTGTAAAGCACCTTGTAAATTAACAGCACTACAGAGAAGGGTGGGTTATTTCATAAGAGAGCGAGACAGAGAGACAACACTGAGAATAATAAAAATAGTCACCATCAAAGCAGCACAAAGTATGGGAAGGGAGGCAGCGCAGATATTGGTGTAGGTGTGGCTGATATCAAAGGCACAGAGAATAAAGAGATGCAGGGGGAAGGGAGAGAACTCTCCATGAACAGACAGTCCTCCAAGTGACAAACCTGAGAATTTTCCTGCTTCCTTCTCACTTTGTGTTTGCCCTGTTTGGAGGTTTTTGTTTGGATGATGTGGGTTTTTTGGTTTTTTTACAGTTTTTGCTCCTAACTAACATTGGGCACACCTTTATAAATGAAATTTTACTGAGGGATTAAGATCACTGTCATTTTTGTGCAGAAAGTGTTATGACTTGATTAGGTGTGAAATATTAACTTTCAAAAAGAGTTAGCAATGCAATTTAGGCTTCTATGGGGGTTCTTAAAAAAAACAGTATTAAATACATATATATATAACTTTTTTAAAAGTTGGCTTGGCACTGTTCCTTGCTGTGTATGTTTTGGTTTCACAAGTATTTCAAGCACAGCTGAAATACTTGTGAAAACACTTGGCTGCCTGAATTTTTTTGCCAAATTTGTATTCATAACAACCTCAATGGACAAGAAACTATGCATATTCAATCTTGGAGTGGAAATGTAGTGTTCTACTTGAGCACTCAACTTTTAAAAAAATTATATATACAGAGAGATTTGGGTTTTTTTTTTTATTTTTTCCCCCAAGGACAAAGCTATACTACTTTTAAGCAAAATGTGCTACAGAAGAAAAAATGCATAAGGTATTTTACAGCAAGTTGGCAAAATGCTGAAGATAACATAAAAGTACCTTACAGAGCCACTGTAATAAGTTTATTGGCAGACTCTGACTTTTCACCCACATACCTAATACCCATATAATAAAAACATGGAAAAAAATTAAAACAGCTACTAGTCAGGGGGAAAGCAGATTCTCTGTAAGTCAATATAGAAAACAAACACACAAAAGAGAAAGTAAATTTGCCACTTCACCCCAAAATATTGCTCCTAACAATACCTGACATGACAATGCTTGGAGAAAAGGTGGCACAAGTTCTGACAGAAAAGATTTTGTAAAATGGGATTATTACTTAAGAGAGGTTGTTAATTTATTTATTAAATGAATTTAATATTTATTTCATGATCTGTTTATTAGTACTACAGCCTGAATCAAAACTCTTTGGAGTAAACAGGAGAAAATTTCCATTGGCTTCCTGCAGTGCCCACTGTGGTGGTCCTGCAGTCACTGGAATCATCAGCCAACCTTCAGGAGAGCAAGGTCAGAGTCTGGTTTGTCTCTTGTGAATGAGATTGTATAAGGGAAGCAATAAAAAGCAAAAATTTTGAGCTGCTCAGGCCACATATTTGTGTTTGCCATTTATCTCATCTGAAAGACCAAGTGGCCGGGTCTTGTCCTCAATGAAAGTCACCATTCACCAGACATCAGATGCTGAGATAAGAGAAGAAACCCTTTTTCCAGAAGGTACATCATAAAGATGGACAAGATCCAGCTCCAAGGATCAATATGTAGCTGCAAATGTCTATTTTCCAGCTCAAATCCTGCTGTCTTTAGGTGAACAGTCCTGTTAAACCAATACCAAAGGAAATCAAACACGCTGACCCTGAGCTTACAGCCCCAAAAACCTGGGGCTCTCTTTCAATTTTCTTGTTTGATTTTCAAAGCAGTGATAGTGCTGCCCTGGAGTGCCAGGAGTCAACAGACACACTGCTGTTTGCAGAAGGTGAGATTAAGTTACCTCATGGAAGCAGCCCTTGGTTTAGGAGGTGTTTTATTGCCACTCTCCTGTTTGCAGCTCCACAAGCAGGGAAGGGAAGGTGTCTCCTCTTCCTCTCCTGGCAGGAATGGGACACCCAGGTTTGAAAACACCACTGCCACACAAGGGAAGGCAGAACTCCCCTCCCTCATCCCTAATGCACAGCTCTTATGGAGTACAACAGTGGAGGCACTAAAAAAGCCACAGCCATCTGCATGCATCATTTGCATTAATTGGATTGCCCTTGTAATAGTCTTTCCCCTCCTACACGCTCACATCGATATTTCCTCCTGCTTGTTCACACACATCCTGACACTTTTTATGCTGTTGAGCACCATATGAATTTCTCCTTAATATTCAGACACATCTGTGAGCAGGTGCTGAACAAATGCTGAGGGTTAACGTGGTGCCTTTCGGTCCTGTTTTTGCCAGTGTTCAGAAATCTGGAGGATAAACACTCATTTGAAGAGTGGCTTTCACATTTAAGAAAACTCACAGAAAATCTTAACCAAGCCTAACTCAGTCTATTCCTACCTAGACCTGTTGTATCTGCATCTTAAACCTGTTGTATCTGTATCTTAAACCCATTGTATCTGCATTCAGGTGCCCAACAGCAGCGAAAAGAAAGAATATAAAAATTCTCTCCTGCATGTTTTAACATTCATCTTGCACTATATAAACTTTCATCTCAGGTTTAAAGTACGCTTAACGTGCAGCTGAGATTATACCGACAGAAACACTCAAGAAACACCTTAAAATATTTTATAATTAATGGATTCTCTGGAAACCAAGTCATTAGAGGAGCAGGGACTGAAGAGTTTCTAAAATGTGAAGATCACAGTAAGTGAATTCTGTGCTGGACACATCAGGAAAGCCATTTCAGGGAGAAATGATGTGGGGAGAAAAGCCCATAAATTCACAGCTCATCACCTATAAACCTACTCAGATATGCAGCTCCAGGGCTGTCAGTATTGGGCGTTGAAATTCAGTTACATCTTCCCTTTTAAATAAGAAAACTCTCTGGAGGGAGGAACCTTTTATCAGGAACAAAACCACAGAAAGGTCTCTGTCACAGAGCACCTTCCTCATATTAAATGGAGAGCATGGGCCAGCCAGGCACGGTGGAGGACAGGGGATGAGTGTTAAAAAACATGTGGCTCTGTGTTTCCTCTTATCAGGAAGGAGTTTTGCACTTGTGTTGCTATCCATACCCTAATTTCTTTGCAGCTCTGCTTCCCCAGAAACATCAGTGCTGTTCTGGTTGACTGAGGACTCTTTCTGTGTCTCCCAGTACAGGGCACTCAGTGGGACAGGGCTCCCCAATGGAAGTGACTATCTCCAGGATACTCTCCCTGCTCTGAATGTTGCTGCCTTCCATAATGAGATAATATGTACTAATATATACAGATAACAGCCCTCGGGTGCCCAGGACTACAATTCTTCTTAATGACCTCAAGAAGTGGCCACATGAAGGTTCTGTGACCATTTATTTGTTTTCTGTAGGATTTTCACCCCAGAAGGTGCTGTAAGACAGCCCCCTGGGATTTGAGAACACAGACATCTCTGGAGAACAAGAAAACACAAACCAGGAAGTTATTAGGCTTGGACATTATAAATCAGCACAATTGTGAGTAGAGCTGACTCAATAATCACTACTGAACTGTTTATTCTCAGTGGTATTCTTAATATTCTCTGTATTATTCTTAATACTTTTTTCAACAAACATATTTGACAAGACCTTATTTTCACTTTCTTCATAGATGTCAGAGGGCAGATACTCAATTAATACTTCCAAAACTCTTTGAAATGCTCAAAAGAAAAGAGGGAAATACAATTATTGTTAATAAAATATCAGACGTGGTAGTGATGCACTTCAAAACCACAAGGAACGTATCAAAGAAAGAAGGAGGCTTTCAGAAGGCTGCTAACCAATTCTGTCCACATCCATTTCATCTCTGTGACTAAATCTGATCACTCCCAGGGAGTGCTGTCTCAATGCAATGTACATGCAGGCAGCACGCCTCTACCAGAAATCCTGAACAACCTCCTCTTCTTTCTAATTTCTTGGCTAAGAAACATAAGGAAAAGACAAGTTTAAAGGGAGTTTTTATCTCTGTTTCATAATCTGAAGAGGGCTACTATGCTGTGGAGAGCAGTAAATCTGGAGTAGGATGAGCCCAGCTCAGCGCATTCCTCAGAAAGCCTCAAAACCAGCAAGC